TATACACTGAGTGGCCAGATTATTATGACCACCTGACGTTTGTAGGCAAATTAGCTATAATTTCACGCTGAAGTTGCTAGAGGGCCAGACCATTATAAATAGGGAAGCAGGTTGTTTACCACAACAGTAGAAGTGATTTTTTTCTGAAGATATGGGTAAACAATGCATTTTAACAGCCTTTGAACATGGGATATATATATATTTTTTTTTCTTTGGTTATTCTCTTCACCTTCTTTCATCCCATCTTCTCCCCGCTCACACACACACACACATACACCTCTCCACTAACATCTATCTGTCTATATCCATGACTCTGGTTCTATTATTCTCATCAATTTATTTTGTTCATTAGATTCCACATATAAGTGAGATCATATAGTATTTGTCTTTTTGACTGGCTTATTTCATTTAGCATTACAATCGAATCTAAGGTTCATCCATGCTGTCACAAAAGGTAAGAGTTCCTTTTTACAGCTGTGTAGTATTCCATTGTATAAATGTACCACAGCTTTTTTTATCCACTCATGTACCAATGGGTGCTTGGGCTGTTTCTAGATCTTAGCTATTGTAAATATTACTGTAATGAACATAAGGGTGCATATATTCTTTCTGATTGGTGTTTTGGTATAATTAGGATATGTTCCCAGAGTGGGATCACTGAGTCAAAATGCAGTTCTATTTTTAATTTTTTGAGGGAACTCCATATTGCTTTCCATAGTGGCTGCACCAGTCTAAATTCCCATCAGCAGTGTACTATGGTTCTCTTTCTTCCACATCCTCATGAGCACTTGTTTGTTGATTTATTGATGGTATTCATTCTGGCAGGTGTGAGGTGATATCTTATTGTGGTTTTAATTTTCATCTATCTGATGATTAGTGATGTTGAGCATTTTCTAGTTCTACTAGCCATCTGTATATTCTCTTTGGAGGAGTGTCTATTCAAGTCCTTTGCCCATTTTTAAGTTGGATTGTTTCATCTTCCTGTGGTTGATTGTATAAGTTCTTTAAATATTTTGGAAATTAACCCATTATCAGATGTATCACTGAAAAATATGTTCTCTGATACAGTGGGTTTCCTTTTCATTTTGTTGATGGTTTCTTTTGCTGTGCAGAAGCTTTTTAATTTGATGGAGTCCCATTTGTTTATTTTATTTTTTGTTTTCCTTGCCCCAGGAGATGTATTAGTGAAAATACTACTATGTGAGATGTCTGAGATTTTATTGCCTATGTTCTCTTCTAGGATTATTATGGTTTCATGACTTACATTTAGTCTTTTATCCATTTTAAGTTTATTCTTTTGTATGGTGTAAACTGGTCATCTAGTTTCATTTTTTTTTGCATGTTCCTGTTTAATTTTTCTAACACCATTCATTGAAGAGACTATCTTTACTCCATTGTATGCTCTTGCCTCCTTGTCAAATATTAATTGACCATAGAGGTGTGGGTTGATTTTTAGGCTCTCTGTTCTATTGAAATGATCCATATGCCTGTTCTTATACCAATACCAGGCTGTTTGAATTATAGAGGCCTTGTAGTATAGTTTGATATCTGGTATGTGATCCCTCCACGTTTTTTCTTTTTTCTCAAGATTTCTGTGGCTATTTAGGATCTTTTTGGGGTTCTATATACATTTTTGGAATATTTGTTCTAGATCTATGAAATATGCCATTGGTATTTTAATAGGGGTTGTATTGAATCTATAGATTGCTTTGGGTATTTTAGGCATTTTAATGATGTTAATTCTACCAATTCATGAACACAGTATATGCTTTCATTTATTTGTATTTTCCTCAGTTTCTTTCTTCAATGTTCTACAGTTTTCTGAGTACAGGTCTTTTACCTCCTTGGTTAAATGTATTATTAGGTACCTTATTTTGTTGTTGTTGTTGTTGTTGCAATTAATAGGATTGTTTTATTAGTTTCTCTTTCTGATAGTTCATTATTGGTGCATAGAAATGCCATTGATTTCTGGATATTGATTTTGTATTTTGCTACTTTGTCAAATTCATTTATTAGATCTAGTAGTTTTTTGGTGGAGTCTTTAGGGTTTTCTATGTACAATATTATGCCATCTTGTGAATAATAACAGTTTTACTTTATCCTTTCAAATTTGAATGGCTTTTATGTCTTTTCTGATCTCTGTGGCTAGAACTTCCAGTATTATGTTGAATAAGAGTGATGAAAGTGGACATCCCTGTCTTGTTCCTGACCTTAAAGGAAATACCTTTAGTTTTTGCTTCTTGAGTATGATGTTAGCTGTACATTTTTCTTATATGACCTTTATCAATTTGAGGCATGGCCCCTTTATTCCCACTTTGGTGAGAGTTTAAATGGGTGCTGGATTTTGTCAAATGCTTTTCCTGCATCTATTGATATGATCATGTAATTTTTGTCTTTTAATTTGTTTATGTGGTGTAATACATTTATTGATTTGTGAATATTGTACCAGCCTTGCATCCCCAGAATAAATTACACTTGATCATGGTGTATGATCTTCTTAATGCATTACTGGATCTAATTTACTGACATTTTGTTGAAGATTTTACATTATGTTCATTGGTGGTATTAGCCTATAATTTTTTTTTCTTTGTAGTGTCTTTATCTGGTTTTGGAATTAGGATAATGTTGGCCTTTTAAAAAGAGCTTGGAAGTTGTCCCTTCTCTTGAATTTTTTAAATATAGTTTGAGGAGGATAGATGTTAATTCTTCTTTGAATGTTTGGTAAAATTTACCTGTGAAGCCATCCAGTCCAGAACTTTCATTTGCTGGGAGTTTTTTAAATTACTGCTTCAATTTCTTTTCTTTTTTAAAAATATATTTGTATTGAGAGGAAGGGAGAGGGAGAGAGAGATAGAAATATCAATGATGAGAGATAATCATTGATTGGCTGCCTTCTGGATGCCCTGAACTGGGGTTTGAGCCCACAGCCCAGGCATGTGCTCTGATGGGGAATCAAGATGTGACCTGGTTCAGAGGTTGACACTCAACCACTGAGCCACCACAGCTGGGCTGCTTCAATTTTTTAAGTTCGACTTTCTTAGCAAATTTCAATTGTACAATACAGTGTTATCAACTATGGTCACCATAGTATACATCAGATCCTCAGACTTTATTCATCTTAGAACTGAAAGTTTGTATCCTTTTACCAACCTCTCCCTATTTACTCCTCCCCCCAGGCCGGGTAACCAACTTTTCTCTCTCTTTTTCTATGAGTTTGACTTTTTTTTAGGTAATACTGTTTTAACTCATTCTCTTCCCTGACTAAAAAATAAAAATTTTAGGCTGTTCAAATATATTTGAAAATGCCTGCAAATTCCAGTCCTCTCAGAAATTCATGATTCACATTAGCATATTAAAAGTTCTGAAAATTAAAAACAAAACTTTGCTTTAACTCCTAGGCTTATTTCACTGTAAAACCTCTTTTTCCCCTTACAACACAATACACATCCTGAGAAATTCTATCAGTGAGTGGTGACCCACTAAACAATTCGACACTAGGGAAGGACATTATTAACTTTGAATCTTATAGGTTGCTTTATAGATGATTCTGGCTCTCAGAACTAGCAAAAGTGGTAGGAATGGAGAGGCACGGATGAATTTAAGAATTAATTAGGAGCTAAAGCAGTGCTTTATAGATTAAATGTAGATAGTGAAGCCAGATTATGGGAAAGAATGTGACATTTTGGATTTGCGGAGTCTGTCTGATCTAGCAGAGATATCCATCAGGCAGTTAGAGTAGAGCTTCTGTGTAAGAGATATATGTTTAAAATAAGATTTTATTGGATTTTACCAGGAACCGTTGTTGAGAAAGAAAACCATTGGACAGACCCCTGAGAAGGAACCACAACTCCTAAGCAAGAGAAGAAAAAAGAGCCAAGAACTTAACAGGCCAGAAATACTCAAAAAGGTAGGGTAGGAATTTCAAAGGCAGTGGTGTCACGGAACACAAAAGATTGGGAAGTTGAAGCAAGGGATTAGAGATCAACAGATTCCCATGTAACAGAAGGTTTAGCATGCTTGTAATGGTGCACAGAGCCAATGTTAAAATTTCAGGACTTTTGCAAGCCAGTTGGTGACAAGTTAGTAACTGAAATCAGCTCTGGTGAAGGTATTTGCACCATTAAAAGTGGAGTACACTACTAAGCCAAGCTCCTTAACTCCTGCTCTGAAAAGCTGGTTGTTCAACATTTACTGGCTCACCACTGAAATAAAGGCTAGAAAATTCTTTTTGGATTTGTCAGGTAAGAGGACATTCCAGAGGGCATTCTCTTGAGTGGTGGAATGGAGGCCAGATTGCAGTAAGTTAAGGAGTGGTAGGTATGAAGATGGAAAGGCTTTAATGAGAATGGAAGATATAAATTATATAGTAGCCAGAGGATAATATGAACTTAGGAAATGGAGAAGCAAACATATTTATAGCTCAAGGAGATTTTTCCAATAGAAAGAGAGAGAGCAAGGCAGAAGATACAAGATGATACAAAGTGAAGGTCTCCCAGGGGAGGAAGGAGAGGATGGTATTTGAGACATGGGTATAGGGGTCCATGGATATTAGGAAGGATGGCTTGTCATCCAAGACTGAAAGAAAGATGGAATCTCTACAAGGAACAAATATTTGCCATTCGACCTGCATTTAAAATAGGACGCATGTTTGTTTTTAAGTAAACTTGGCTGCTCTGGCTTTGGTAGCTAACGATTGCTGCCACTTGTTATTCCTTTGGGCAAAAGTCTGGATCTTTCCCTTAGTCATTCACATGCAACACTATTTAAAAATATTTCTACTTTTTAAGAAATTAAGGGAGAAATGACAAATGTGTGAAAAAGAATATAAGTATTGTATTGTTTAAGTCTACACCCTAATAAATTCCAATCATGGGTATTTTAGCTATCCACCTGCTGGATTTCAATGCGTAATGAATAAGTCCTGTATTTAGTTTCCTGCCCCAGTTAATCCTGCTTCTCCTGCCATTTTCAGGCCCAGATTCAGGCTGTTACATTTGCTTATATTAGTCAATTTCTGACCAAAGTTCCTCTCACTAAGA